CACACACACACTCTGAGGCAACACTGCCCTCCACTGCTGGGCACCAGTACTGCAAGGCTGTGGCCATGGGGTGTCCTGGGTCCGCCCTTGGGTCCGGTGTGGCCCACACCCTGTCTGCCTGGTTAGAGCAGGTGGTGGTTTTGGGGGGGGTTTCCTTTTTTTTTAATTTCAGAGAGGAAGGGAAAGGGGAAGAGAGAGAGAAACATCCATGATGAGGGGGAATCATTGATCGGCTGCCTCCTGCACATCCCCTACTGGGGGTTGAGCCCGCAACCCGGGCATGTGCCCTTGACTGGAATCAAACCCGGGACCCTTCAGTCTGCAGGCCAATGCTCTATCCACTGAGCCACACCAGCTGGGGCCCAAGTGGTTGTTTTGCTTTGCGTTTCCTGCTCCTCTGCCGGTACCTGCTGCCCCGAGGACGCATGGTGACTGGTCACCTGAGTTTGGGCCTCGGCCCCGCTGGGTGAGAATAAGAGGGAAGTAGAAGTGACGGCCCCAGCCTTTTGTCACAACTTCCTGCCTCCTGCTCAACCCACCCCTCAAGTTAGAAACCCCATTCTTTCCTGCCATGCGCTAGCCACCCCTCGTCCCCCCCCCAAAAAAACCCTGCCCCTCGCCTCCGCGGGGATCTGGGCCGCTTGGCTGTGTGCCGGGTCAGGCTGGGCACTGACCGGAGGGAGAGACACGGCCAGTCGAACGTGGCTCTGTCCACACGGCCTCGCTCTTTGGCCTGGTCCTCAGGCCTCCTCTGCACCCCGTGACGCCCCCAGCTGCTCAGGGTCAGGCGGCGGGGTGTGGACAGCGAGGGCTCTGCGGGGTGGCCCGCCCCAGGCAGGGCATTTAAAACCCCATTCTTGTTTGCTTCTCAGCCCAGTGTCGAGGGACCGCAGTTCAATTCCTTCAGAATCCCGGTGTCTTAGTGCAGCGCAGAGCTGCCTGCCTTCCCGGGGAGACGCCCTGGGGGCCGAGCTGCCATCGCCCAGGGCTCAGCACACCCACACGAGTCCCCTCGCTGGTTCCTCTCACGCTGCCACGTGCAGGGTCGGTGGGGGCGTGCCTCCGGGCGGGTTACGGCTCGGCGCTCGTCCGACCCCCGGGAGCCTTCTGGTTTCCATCGCTGAGTCTCAGGGTGCCTTTCTGGGTCCAACATGTGACACGCAGTCACACTGAGCTGTGGCCGGGACAGGAAGGCGAAGAGGAGCCGCGGCCCGCACCCCCGATAACCGCTCCCGCTCCGATCACTGTTTCCCGTGTGTGTGTCTGCGAAACAAACCTGGGCTCACACGCTATATACTGCTCTGTATTTGTTTTATTTTTTATAGTTTCAGCTGTATATGACTGTACACTCAATTTCAGAAACAATGAAAACCCCACCCTGCTGGGCGTCCTGAACGGCAGGAAATACCACGCAGACATGTATGTCAGGTAAGTGGCCACGCCCCTTCCAGGGAAGACCACACCCACCTGAGGCGAGCGGATCACAGCCTGTGCTGGACCAAACGTGTCCCCGGCCGCAGTCACACAATGCCCTCACGGGACACCCCCTGTCCCGCTGTCAGGACCGGCCAGGGCTCCCCTCTGGTCCTCCCTTGCCAGCCCTGGCGTGGAGCTCAGGCCGGACAAATGGACACCAGGATTCACAGCCGCTGGGAGACGAGTGTGAGGGCTGTTTTGTGGAGCCCCTCCTGGAGGATGTGTCCACTGCGCACACAGACACACACGCGTACACATGCCTTGGCCTCACGTGTGTGCGGAGCCCAGGGTGTTAGACCAGGGTGTTAGCAGCTTACAGAGGGGCCGGCCGCGCCTATCACCTCGTCAGGATTAGCGGAAACAATGGAAGAGCTTGAGCCCTTCCCCGCCCT